AGCTAGAGATTTACCTCTTTTCTAATGTCTAGTCTATTGCTATTTGCCAGAATGAAATTTGTTTTCACTGACTGTAGTGGTGGCTTAATTGGAAGTGCTTGGAAGATCATAAGAAGCACAAATTCTCACCCTTAACTGTATCAAACACCACCAAGCCCTGACAGAGCTGGAATGACCACTATACTCCTTGATGAAAACTGATTATTGTGTTCCTCCAAACTGGTGGCCAAGTCTGGCTTGGGTTCTGATACTTTTCTGGGGCAATTATCACAGTGTGTACCAGTCACTGTTGGTTATTCCCGACCTGTTGATTTGAAAGACAGGGTCGATGTTAGTGCCCACTTTGCTGCTTGGCAACGTAGTATGTTAGTAATTGGTAGACACCTGATGGGTGATCTATTGATTGGAAATGGCGACTCTTCCATCCTTGCAATGCCACAAGGTATGGGAAGTTCCTTGGCCAGTGCTCCATGTGTACACAGGTAAAACAGACACTTTGCTCTTCCTGTCTCAAATGATGCTCAGATGGAAGCCTCTGGCATCTAGTCACCAGTAGTTTTGACAAGAGCCATAGTTGTACTCTGATTGGCAATGGACTGAAAGTTCATGAGAGACTTACCCATTCTGTCTCAAACTTACCAGGTGCCCCACTATTTTGGTGGACCTCAATTCCATGCCTCTCTGTCACTAATATTGACCCTCAAGAGCACAGCCTGCTCACATAGTTTTAATTCACCAGATGTGGGCAGATCTCACTATATCATCGGTTGCAGACTGACTGGTGTAGTCAACCTTTGAACCATTTGGTAAAAGTCCTATGTCTAGGAGAAGACTCCGCCAAGACTCGACACCTCTCCTGTTCAATCATTTCTATTTTTTGAACAGATTTTCTCTTTCATGTGCCACACTCTAAAAAGGCAAGTTTTACTTTAAACTCGCTTTGCAAGAGAAAAAACTGGGTTGTGTATGTATACCACAGGAAAGTCTTGCATTACGTTTTGGTGTCATGGCACCAAATTTCTTCTTTCTTTTTTAATTCTAGTATTCACTGATTGGACTGATGTCTCAACAAATATGAGATAGAACATTTACGAGGATTGTGTGATAGAGACAATAAGACTGAGTGTTCTTTTTAAATGTATGAATAACTAAGCTGGACACATTTTAAATGAATAAACAGAATCTGGTTTTGTTTTTCTTGAATTTCAGACAAGTTTACTTGAGGGCTATCTGCAGTAGCTGTCCCCAGTAGCATCAGAAGAAATCCACATAGAACAAAGAGCTAACTTCAACAGCGAATTATTCACTGAGTTGTGTAAAGTGTAAGATTTATAATTTACCATATTACCCGAAGGTTGAAGGTTTGGCAGAACAGATAATTCAAACTACCAAACAGTAGTTTGTGAAATTTGTTAATCTTTATAGAGCCAACTGGAATGGAAACTTGCCATATATAATAATTACATATAGATTTTTTAATTGGACAGTGATCAACAGGCTGTTTACTGTACCTGCTCAAATTTGGATTAAAAGTGTTACTCCTGTTTGATTCTTCACCATGAGGATCAATTCTCTAGTGTCTCCAAGAGGATGTGGAATGGCTAAGATCAAAGATGGTTGGTGCACATGAACATGCAGGACAACAATTCAGGAAAGCATTATGACGACAGAAGAAGTACTATGATTGTTGTAAATGTTGTGAGTGGGAGTGTTTATTGTACATGTCAGCAGCACAAAATCTGGCCATATTGGACTGTATGTGATTTTCCAACAAGTTGGTTTTTTTAACATATGATTTACAGCAGACGCAGCAGATACAAGGCACGGTGAAGCGCATGAAACACGTTCTAAGCTGTACCCATACATCATAGATGACCCATTAGCGTACAAGCTTGACTAGGAGTTTGGGGACGAAACAGATGAGTCATAAGAGGACAAGGACACTGGCTCAAATTATCTTGATCCACCTAATGAAGGAGAAGAAGCTATAGATACTTAGTTGGTGATCTTTAACAAAGCAGATAAGGAGTCATTGGAAGTGGAAGTGGCAATCAGCTCCAACTGGTGGATGAAACACCAACGTCATTCTTCAGATCGATAGATATGGGGTTAGTTATTAAAAACAGTATGGCCTAGTAATTGAACGGCTACTGACTAAAAGGATGTAGCGACTTATTGCTTTATGAGACCAAGAAAAACGCAAATACCTTTTATGCACTAAACCATATGACTGCTGCTTAATCATTATAGCCAGGATGATTATTATAATGAGTACTTGATGACGGAAAAAATAGCATTCCTTGCTTTCCAAGTTTTCAGGTAATGCACAAAAATAATGCCATGACTTCTTCTTTTCCGAGCCATCGAGTGGTATTGGAATAATAATATACGCACTACATTGTAGAGTTGCTGCTTGACCTCCAAAGCTTAGGCAATCCTTAGTTCACATAACTAATAGTTGAAAGGAAATAACATTCTTGCTTTCTGAGCAACTGGGTAGTAAGGTCTAGTAGAATGTATGGACCACATTTTGCAACTGCTATTCAATTATTGACAGTCGAGACAGTTACTCATCTGGAAGATCATGAACTGAAAGGAAGTGGTGTTTCTTGCTTACAAAGGTATTAAATAATATTGAGATGCAACGTATGTACTGCGTTATAGAATTATCATTCTATTATCGACAGTAAGGACAATAATGTGGTTGAAAAATTGATTATTGGAAAAAAAATGTGATCCCTTGCTTTTCAAAGCATAAAGTAACTTTTTTGATGCAAAATGTCATCTGATGTTTAAATAAAATCACTCCAACTATTTAACTGAGTGATGAAAACATTGCAGAGCATATTACCTTCATGGATAATATATCAGATCTAAGATCGATGAAGGAGTCTAGTTTTTCATAGTGTTTATAGGAGTATGGTAGTAACAGACTAATTTTAATCTAGATGAATTTACTTTTAATTCAATAGTCTCGCTTTGCCAGAATTTTACCAGTCATTATTTGATTTGTGATGCCTGAAATTAAAATGAGTTGAGTTTGATGGCCCTAGGTGGCACTACCTTCATGTAGTGTAGTTTCGGCGGGTAAATTGGACCTTACTTAGGTTGTTCATGTTGTAGCCAGTGGGAAGTGAGTTACATAAACTGCTTGTGTAGTGTAATGGCGGCTTGTGTACATTGTAATATACTTATGTAAACAAACACACATGTATGCCAACATGTACACGTGAAAAATATTACATGGAGTCATTCATAAGTGTTTTAAACAAATTAAAACAAATGAATCAACCACACTCAGGAAACATTAATAAATAAGAGAAGAGGGAAATAAGATGAATGCAATGAGAGCATGGAGATGCATAATTTGTTCTCGATGTTAATAATTAATGAATATAAGGTTAACTTGAAAAGTATTATTGGAAATTTGAATGGATCTATGATTTTGATTAAAGTTGAGGCAATCTTTCAATTTAGACACTGAGCCACACTCATTACTGGTGGTAAATTTTTCATGGAAAACACCCACACTATGGTGAGAGAGAAAAAGAGAAAACACAGTTTTACATTGTGTTTTAAAAAGCACGGTTTTACCTGGGGTTTTTGCATAGTGCAAAGACACTTTAACTTGATGAAGTTCAAATATTAACAAGTGAGTGAAATTATTAGTAATACACGATATTCACAAACAATAGCTTGGATATCACAAAAAATATAAATGTGGTGCATCCAGTGTTTTATCTGGTTCTGATAGAAATGTTTTCGGTCATGTAGATTGAAATATCTGGAATAAGCAAATATTTTTACTGAGTATTTTATTAGCATTGTTTCATTACAAAATACAATTTTGTAGTATATTTTTTCATTCATTTTTATACTTACAATATTTATGGAAGAAATGTAATTTTCAAATGCACTTTTATTCTTAACTTTACGATCTGATGAAAAGCGCTCGCTCAGAACGTCACTATCTCCCAATTAATTTATATAACTCTTGGCGAGTTTATAACTTATTATTTAATGTCTGTAAAATACAATGCGTACTATTGCAGTTATTTGCATGAAGATTGTTGGGTCATCATAATTATATTTTTGTTTAATATGAGGATTAAGTGGGCTTCTTGTCATTGAAAAAAAGTTGAAAAATATTTATACTTTATACTTTCGTGCCCCTATCCTCCCATTCCCATGGAGACCTTGTACAAACTCCACGAGAATCAAGATCAAGCGACTCTGAGATACCGCTTTAGAGAATGAATTTTTGCCTTATAAACGAACTTAGGTTGAAAAAAAAACAACATGTAAAGAATACTTCAATAATAACACAACAGAAAATGCCATATATTGTGATGTATATTGTAAGTCATAACTTTGTTAAAAAATTGTAAAGAGAAAGTTTATTTATTTCAGTTAAAGTACAGTTTTATCTGAATTTGCAATACTTTTGCTAATGCAGTCGAAAACAAAAATTTTCGCCTTTTCACAGCTTCATATAAATATTAAAACGAATGTTCTCTCTCTCTCTTTCTGTATATAAATATATGGTAAGATGATCAGCAGGTAAAGTTGACAAGGAAAGTTGGATAAAATTTAACTTTGAAAATGATTTTACTTGTACAGAACACCCTTCATGCTGCTTTACCAGCTATATCTAAAAATTGAATTTATTGAATTTGATTAATTTCATTTTATCTTCCTTATATTAAACGAGATTAAATTCAAAATTTTAAAAAGTAAACAGCATTCATTGTCAACGTTCCTTACTTCCCTTTTGTCATAGATTGCACACAACTTGATATCTGAAGATTCCTCTACTTAAAACATGCTATCCTGTTTTCAACCAAAATTCATTATAACAGACAGTAAGACAAGCGAGTTTTGATATTTTTTTAAATATAGAAGATTTTAATATAAGAACTGTTTTACACATATGTGTACACCAGCTGAACAAAACCAGGCTGAAGACTATATTACAAAAATGTTTTTATATAAATAATAGTAACAACAACAATAAACACACACACACAGACATTTTTCAAAATATATGTTCGAATGGCCAGTGCCTTACACAAACATCTGTTACACTTTTCTAGCGTGAGCAACAATAAGTTTGTATGAAAACTGAATCCCCTCATTGTCGTTGTTGTCCACCTCTGTTCTAGCGTGAGTTTGAAGAAACCTTAAACAATCCTCAGTGTAGTCCTGTTTCATGTCATCTGGCAAGTGTTTGGTAAATGGAGATATGGCATCCAAGCTTTCTACAAAAACGAATATCATTTAGTTTTCAAATATGTTTTACTATGTGATTCTCTTATCTTATGAATGGGTAATAAATCACTGAAAGCTTTTGATTTTTTGCATGCAATTAAATGTGAGCTACATTTAATTTGTGCAAAGTTTTTGCAATGTTAAACGATTTATATCTGCAATACGGTTGAATTGATGAATATACTATGAATCGGAATAACTTACATTTTCGGAATGCAAATATATTCTAAAGAAATTGTGATTGAAAGTATGTCGATTCTAATGGTTTACCTTTGATAACTTCTGTATTTGGAAATGTAAAGCTCATGCTGACCAGGTCACACATTACAACCTCCAAGCCACTGTCCATCAAGTATGAGCTGAAGAGAAAAGCCGGCTGAGTGTTTCTGTGAGTGTCTGGTAGATACTGGTGTACATCCTGAAGAACAAAATTAAATACTTTTTTTTTACCATGTTATCACAATGTCTTAGTATCACACCATGAACATAATTATATAAGTATTATCTTTCTTAATGAAATGTATCTTCAAATTATAAATTTATTCTATGATGTACATAGTAAGTCGTAGAGTTGTTTATCCAAATCTAGTTTTTCACCATGTAGGGTTTTTCGAAAAAGAGAATATAGCATGTTTTATTGAAATACTAAAGAAGCAAAACAAGAAAAAGCAACAAGGAAAATGACTGCTAAAAGAAGCGCGACAAATACAACTGCAACAGCTACTAACTTGCATGAATGATTTCCATTTATCCATCTGTGCCAGGTGCTCGTGCATTTCAAATACTGGACACTGTGCTACGAAAGCTAAGAGACATTCACCACCTGTGATGAGTAAGGAGCTAATGTTTTCGACAGCCGTCTTCAAGTTTTTAACCCAATGCAGACAGTAGAACGAGTAGATTTTAGAAAAGCTTCCCCACTTGCTCTTGAAATTGTAGACATTCTTACTGATGTCGAAAACTTCGTAGCATATGTTCTCGTGAAAACTCTTATTCCTAGCGAACTGAATCATGGAATTGGAAGAGTCAGTAGCCACCAAATATCGCGCTTGTCTACAATGCGGGAGGATGATATCTCTTGTAACGTCACCAGTTCCACAGCCGATGTCCAATACAATGTCAGTGTCCATGGTTTCCTGCATAGCCTGACCGTAGACTTGGAGGATAAGGCGGGCATCTCGCACTTGGAAATAGTGTGCACGTTCGTATAGTTCGGGGTCGTTCATGATGATCTGAAAAAAAAAAGAGAGAAAGATGGGGGGTTTATGGAAGCATTATAAAACACTCAATAAATATTTTAGTAATAGCAAAATTCAAAAAGGTACACAGTAGTGTGTGTTATCTTGATTTGACATTGATTATTGCAAAGGTCAAATTGTACAATAAGATACCATCACATAAAGCACATTTAATGCATTTATTATTATGAACTGTGAAACCAAAATAAGATATGAGAATTAATTATTAAAGCTTTATTTCGAATAAAACAAATAAATATTTTCGCTAGGTTTACCTAGTATCGTTTGATGGATATATTTGAATAACGGAATAAAACCTTAAGTGTAGCAGTATCAAAAGCGATATAACATCGCTAACCAACAAAATAAATGCAACTAAAATACAATTGTTACATAGGGAAATATTAAAATAGATATATAATTTTAAACCTGAATATTGTTTAATGCTAGTTTCTTTTAATAAGTGGAGCGTCTTTGATTCATCTTTTATTTATATTATTTTCTCTGTCAATGATTTTAATCCGATAAAACGAATGAGTGTTTACTTTGAGCCATGTGTTCAAATACAAAGGAAAGGGCTTTTAAATGTTCTTCTAATCTTGAAAATACTTGATCAAAGGTTGTTTTTCTAATATTGAAAACATTTGACCACAGGTTGTTCTTCTAATCTTGAAAATACTTGACCACAGGTTGTTCTTCTAATCTTGAAAATACTTGACCACAGGTTGTTCTTCTAATATTGAAAACATTTGACCACAGGTTGTTCTTCTAATCTTGAAAATACTTGACCACAGGTTTTTCCTAGCACAGTCTTTTCAGGGAATTTGATAAACATATCCTTACTATTGAGGTGGAGAAGCAGATTAAAAAAACACTTATATTTATCTAGAATGGCTAGTATGAAGTTATTCAATTCTAGTGTGAATCAGACATGTGTGCTAGTGACTCACTCGATTAAAATTTCTAAAAGACACATTTAACCATATAGCAACTTACCTGTATAGAAAGTAAAGAGTTGTTTTTCTCGGCCTGTTTCTTGTGATGATCATCTACCGATTTAAAGCTGAGGAAACCGGGTTGCTTTTATACACACGATCCATGTAACATGATACATACATAATGCATTGCTAAGACATATTTCTATTTTTGACGGGAGAATTCGACAAATTAAACATGCGTATCAATTTTCATGAAATATAGCCATAGGTGTTATTGAGCAATAGATGATGTACCTTACAGTCACGTATCTCGCTGCAGGTGGGATAAACTGCCCTCCATCCTTGTATCGTAGCAACAAGAAATATATAGTGAGATGTGTCTAGAATTTGCGTCGTTACTCATCTGCTGAAGCTAGCGGGGGGTAAGTCCTTGTAATCACTCTTAAGGCAAAAGTCGAACTCACAGTTATTGAAACCCTCTTAGCTCTTTTGTAAATAACACAAAGGTTTTTGGACTTCATATGTGTTCAAAAAATACTTTAATATTAGAGACTGACTTACGTATTATAAGTTAGGTATTTTACGACGAAGCCAAAGTTATAAAACATTCTGAATCTTACAGTTCAAAGATGTAAAACGTCCTGTATCTTACAACTAAGTCAAAGTTCTAAAACTTACTGTATATTATAACCCAGAAAAAGCTCTAAAATCTCCCGCTTCTTACAACTCAAAGTTCTTAAACGTCATGTATCTTATATCCATCAAACAAGGTTCTAAAACGATCCGATTTTACAACACACACAAATTCATAAAACGTCCCATATCTTATAACACAAAGTTCTAAAACACTAGGTATTAAAAAATGTTAGGAAATGTCTTGAATTTTACAACTCCAACAGACTTTAAAGCTTTGTGTAATTTACAAATCAGAATGTTCTAAAATGTTCTGTATCGTAGAACTCAAATTATGATGTGTCCTATATCTTACAATTCATACAAAACTTTAAAACGTCCTAAAACTAATAACTGAGAAAAATACAAATAAAAATAACTCCTGTATTTTATAACTTAGACAAAGATATGAAAACATGTTACAACTGTACGTTACAGCTCAGGAAAATTATGAAACTCTTGTATCTTACAAATGAGACAAATCTTTAAACTAATTAACTCAGACAAATTTATAAATCGTCCTGTATTTTGCAACTCAAAGTTCTAAAACATCTTTTATTTTAAAACTCTGACAAAGTTATGATATATACTGAATCTTACAAGTGAGACAACGATGTAAAACGTCCTGTATCTTACAAATGATATAAAGTAGTAAGCTTTCTCGTATCTTAAACTCATAATGCCCTCCAGTGGCACAGCGGTATGTCTGCAGACTTACAACGCTAGAAACAGGGTTTCGATTCCCATGGTTGGCAGAGCACAGATAGCTCATTGTGTAGCTTTGTCCTTGGCTACAAACAAACAAATCATAAATGGTACTAGACCGTCATTTATACTATAACTCAGACAAAGTTATGAAATGTTATATATCTGAAAACCCTGACAAAGTTATAAAACGTCTTGTTTCTTATAACTCAGAGAAATTTGAAGACGTTCTGTATTTTAAAACTTAGATGACGTTCTACAATGTCTTATATTTTACAATCCGGAAAAAGCTTTAAAACGTCTTGTACTTAAAATTAACATAAAGTAGTAAGTGTCCCCCATCTTACAATCCAGAAAAGTTACAAAACGCCTTGTATCTTACAACTCAAGGTACTAAAATATCCCAAATTTTACAAAGCAGAAACAACTATGAAATATCTTCTGTAACATACAACAAAGACAAAGTTATCAAATTTCTTACATCTTACAAATGAGACAAATTCTAAAACAAAATTCTGAAGTTCTGTGTATTTTACAATATATACAAAACCTTAAAACGTCCTATAACTATCGATTCAGTCAAAGTTAAGGAAGGTTCTCAATCTTAAAACTAAAATAACATTATGAACTGTCATGTATATTAAAACTGGCAAAGTTATGATATTACCTGAATCTTAGAACTGAGAAAAAGTTTTAGACCGCCAAGTATCTTATAACTCAGACAATGTTATGAAATTTTGTGTAACTTACAACAAACTTCGACAAATTTATTACACGTTTTTTATCTTACAACTATAGGTTCTAAAGTGTATTGTATCTTACAACTCAAACTAAATGATGAAATGGCTTGTATCTTACAATACAGACAATACTTTAAAACGTCCTTTAACTAACAACTCAGACAAATTTGTAAAACATTGTGTATACTACTTTTCAAAGTTGTTAAACATCCTGTATCTTAAAACTCAGAAAAAGTTATGAAGTATCTTTTATATTAAATCTCTGAAACACTTATGAAATATCCTGAATACCTTAGATAAAACTTTAAAAAGCCATGAAACTTAAAATTCAAACAAAGTTATCAAATGTCCTGCATCTTACGATCCAGTGAATGTTATATAATGTTTTGTACCTTACAGTTGAAAAATTTAAAACGTCCTGAATGTTTCAACCCAGTAAAAACATGAAATTTCCTGGGCCTCACCTAAGACAAAAACGTCTTGGATATTGCAAATATAGTATTCAAAACGTCCTGTTTCTTAGAAATCCGTCAAAAGATCTAAAACATCATATATCTTATCAAACAGACAAAGCTTTAAAAGCTCATGTTTTACAACTGAGACAAAAACATCCCGTAACCTAAAACCCAGACAAAGTTACTAAATTTCCTATACATTACAACAGAGACGAAGTTCTAAAACATTCTTATTCTTACAAGCCAAAGTTATAAAACGTACTGATCTTACAACTGAGATAACTGTGTAAAACGTCCTGTATCTTAAAATTCAATGTTGTAAAAATTACAGTATTTTACAATTCAAATGAAGATATAAAATGTCTTGGTTCTTACAATTCAGACAATGTTATAACAACCCATTTATAGTTTCAAAATATCATATATCTTAAAACTCAGACAAAGTTCTAGACCGCCCTGTATATTACAGATCAGAAAAAAAGCTATGAAAAGCCCTATATCTTATATCCCAAAAAAATTAAAAACGTCTTGTGTCTTATTACGAAAAGTTCTAAAACGTTCTGTATTGAACAACTCATATAAAAATCTGTATTTTATACATTAAGTTAAATTTCAAATTCTAAAACATCCATTATCTTAAAATTCAGACAATGTTATGAAAACTCCTGAATCTTACAAATTAGACAAAACTTTGAAATGTTCTGTAACTAACACAACAGACAAATTTATAAAACGCCTTATATCTTAATGCTCAAATTTTTAAACCATCAAATATCTTACAACTTAAACAAAGTTATGAAATGTACTGAACCTTACCACTCAGAATAAATCTTTAGAAGTCCAGTAACTTACAACTTAAACAAAGCTCTAGAACGTTATGTATCTTACAACAAATACAAAGTTATAAACCGTCCTGTGTCTAACAACTCCGACAAAGGTGTGGAAAAGTCATGTCCTGTAACTTACAGTGCTATGAAACGTTATATATCTCACATCCAAAACTTCTAAAACGTTCAATACCTTACTACTCAAACAAAATTGCGAAATGCATTTTACAACTCAAGTTCTAAACATCATGTGTTTGAAAATGTAGACATAGTTAAAATAAGTGACCTTTATTACAGCTTAGAGAAAACGTTTTTTAACTTATAACTTAAAATTATTAAATGTCATGTATCTTGTAACCCAGGCAAAGTTATAAAATGCCCTGTAACTTCCAACCTAAACAAAGTTATAAAATGCTCTGTAACTTACAACCTAAACAAAGTTATTAAATATTATGCATCTTACAACTCAAGGCTCTAAACGTCTTATAACTCGTTACTCAGGTAAAATTATGAAATGTAATGTATATCACACTTCAGACGAAGCTTTAAGTTGTCCTGTAACTCTCAAAATGTCCTGTATCTTACAACTCAAATTCTAAACATCATGTCTTAAAACCCAGTTAAAAATTAATTGTACATTAAAGCTCAGACAGCGTTATGAAATATGACGTTTATTACCACTTTAAGAAAACCATCTACGTTTTATAATATACAATTCATATATAAGTCATAAAACTTGTTGAAATTTTGAGCTTAGGCAAAGCTTTAAATCTTTTCGTATCTAACAGCTTCAAGTTCTTAAACGTTCTGTTTCTTACAACTCAGACAAATTTATAAAATGTCTTTTATCTTATAACACAGACAACATTTTAAAACGTCCTATAGCTTATATCTCAGACAAAGTTCTAAACCACCATGTGTCTTGTAACTCGTATCCAAGATAAACCTTCACATCCTACAACTCAGATGAAGCTATGGATTTTCATGTTTCTTATAATTCACACAAAGTTTTAAAACGCCCTGCTACTTACAAATGATTTGTTTGTTTGAAGTTAAGCACAAAGCTACACAAAGGGCTATCTGTGCTCTGCCCACCACGGGTATCGAAACCTGGTTTCTAGCGTTTTAAGTCCGCAGATATACCGCTGTGCCGCTGGAGGACCTTACAAATGAAAATGATGAGACGTGCTGATTCCTAGGACTCAAAAGTTCCAAGACATCCAGTATCTTCCAACAGAAATATCCTCAAATGGCTCAGCGGTAACTTCGGAGATTTATAACGCTAAAAACCGGGTTTCTATACCCGTGGTGGGCACAGCACATATAGTCTATTCGGTAGCTTTGCGATTAACAACAAACAAGCAAACAGAAAGTTTTTAAACATCGTGAACAAAATTATGAAATACCATGTATCTAGAATCTATGACAATGCTATGAAACGTCCCATATTAGATAGCACAGGACAAAGCTCTAAAACGTCCTGTTAATTTCAACTCAGACAAAGTTATAAAGCATCGTGTTTTATGTACCAAATTTCTAACCTGTCGTGTCTTTTAGAACTCAGACAAATTTATAAAAGGTTCTCTATCTCTCAACTCGGAAAAAGCTTTTAAACGCCATAGAATTTTCAAATATATCTTACAATTTAGACAAAGTTCTAAAACATCCCGTTTCTTACGATGCAGAGTTTAAAGCGTTCCTTTCTCTAAAACTTAGACAAACAATAAAACTTCTTGTATCTTAAATCTAAAATAA